AACAACCTCTGAACAAATTAATTGGGTGAGCAGCTTAAAAGTTAAGAAATTGTTGCAAATTTTCCTACGAATATTTTCGTCGATTTTCATGGAAATTTATGGAAATTAACTACGGGTTAAATGAAATTATTATGCTTGAGATACAAATTTTTATTCGTAAACTTGCAGCTACATTTTTAACTATTTTGTAAAATAAAAATACTTTAATAAAATTTAATTATTTTGTTCTGAAAAAACATGCTTAAATAGTATCATAAAAATGAACACATTTTTGCTAATTCCCCAGATAATATTTTCGCCAAAATTTGTGAAAATTAAGGAAGATAAAATTATTTTAATTCTGACAAATGTTGATACTTTTAAATATACTTGTTTCTGTATTTTTCATTTATGTTATATAATCTTCATAACAATCAACTCAAAATTTCTTAAAAAATTTTGTGATATGTAAACTTGTAAAACTGTCATGTGTCTTTTTTGGTACTTTTAGCGTTTTTTAATAGAAATCCATTTAAATTTGCCTTCCTTTCGTTTTCCGTTTTAATCTCCGATTTTCGTGCAAGTTCAGAGACATTATTTCCCAAAACCGTAAGGTTTAAATAAAAAACTAGTATCGAGCATTCCCGACGCAGACACCGAAAGGGTTAAATTCGTAATATTTCACGGTAGAAACAATTTTGTTGCTGATCCACGTCGTGGCAGTATTGTATTCTACTGAAATAACAGCCACGTCGGAACCGTAATTTATTTCAACGCCGTGGCGAAATTAGAACCGTGGAACGAAATTTACTTTTCTCTTGCATAAACGAAATTACCGTTTCGGTGGGGACGAATGATAGCCAGCTGGAAGCCAGTCTGGTCTGCAACTTTGCCAATGTTTCGCGAGATAAAACGTGGAACGATCGAAGCGATCCAGGCATCGTCGACCGGATGTTCCTCGAAGAGCACTTGTCTGGTCGCGTGAATTATCGAGTTCGCTACTTCGAGTGCGATCCATCGATTCCACGTCCCCGAAAACCCCCGGATATTTCCCGTGTCTCCTATCCCTTTCATGTGGTCTCCTACTTATCGACAGAGCAATCAGAAAATTTCCATCGCCTCTGCTCGGTGATAGTCGATTAGAACCATCGCGCCTCAGGAATTCTAACACGGGTTTCAGATTATTTAACACATAGTTTTAATCGTTTTCGATGATTTGTTTACCGAGTTTCGTTCGCTGCTTTCAGAAAATTGATTGATTAGTGATATTTTTGTATTTTGGGGCATAAATATACGAACCACTTTTATTTTCATTAATCTGACGTTTTCAAAGGTATGACTATTTAGGGTGGCTTAGACTTGATTTACTAATGATGCTTTTGTATATTTTGGGGCATAAATATACGAACCACTTTTATTTTCATTAATCTGACGTTTTCAAAAGTATGACTATTCAGGGTGACTCTGACTTGATTTACTAGTGACGCTTTTGTATATTTTGGGGCATAAATATACGAATCTCTTTTATTTTCATTAATCTGACGTTTTCAAAAGTATGACTATTTAGGGTGGCTTAGACTTGATTCACTAGTGATGTCTTTATATATTTTGTTGTATAAATACACGAACCCCTTCTATTTTCATTAATCTTAAATTTCGAAAATACCATTTAGGGTAACTCAGAAAAGACATTTTTTAAATTGTAATTAAAAGTCTATATGATAAGGCACCAATGTACCGATAGGAAATTCATTTGTGACTTCATAAGTTAAAATTTTTGAACTCAAATTTTGAAAGAATTTCTTTTACAACATATACTAACTTTTTAGAAAGAGAGGAAGAGAATCGATGAAAATTTGTTTGAGCCACCCTAATGAGTAGTATTTTTTAAATATTAAGTCATAGATTTATTAACATAAATATTCAGCCTGCCCTATCATCATGAAACATGTCAAAAATTTGATTTAGCATTTTACTTGTAAGTTTTGTTATTTCACTACTTCATTTTGTTATTCTAGAGAAAAACCTGATATGAAATATAAATTGAGAAACTTGAGAAACTTGAGAAACTTGAAATATAAATATAAATGAAATGCAAATTTAAAATTAAATGTAAATTCTAAATCTTGATTATACCACTTCATTAAATAGAAAATGATAAATTTCTGTCGCTAACAAAAGTTTCTTTTCTCTGTTCTTTTTCATGTTCTCCCCGGATCCTCTCTATATGGCCGTTTCGACGATTTCGGCGATGCTGATGGCCACGACGACGACACCTAACATTCCGCATGGCAACAACGATACGCTGATTAACTTTGGTGATGGTGGGCCATGCTAACGCGTCGTGGCGATGGTGACCGCAATTCCTGGTACACCGTGGTGACGGTGACAATGACACGATAATAAATCATGGTGATGGTGACCGCACTGGCATGCTAACAAACCGCCCGCATGGTGACCACATTGATACACTAACATTTTGTTGTACACCTTGTTGGGTCAACGACTTAATTGCTCACGTTGCACAATCCCTTTGATCGCTTTTAATTAAACATCACATGATTACCTATGGCTCGGTCCATTCTCAATTATTCTAATCTAATTTCATTCGATATTCTGTTTGATGTTGTTATTTTTGTCCCACTTTTTTACTGTTTATTTTTGTATTAATATTTACTTTATTCTGGGAAATGCAATATTCTTATTGATTTGTTATTTATGTTTCGCCATTCCTTTGATTTCTTTTAATTAAATATCGTAATTACCTGTGACGTGTTTCTTTCTGAATTCATTTAATTTGATTTCGTTTGATATTCTGTTTATTTTGTGACACTATTTTTATTTGCTGCCGTTTTTGGTATAAAAATATATTTTATGCTAATACATATATGTAATATTTAATTGTAATATGTTTATTGAAATTTTATTTATAATGTTTTTTTCTGAACTATTCAAATATGACTATTAATATGTTTGTAATGAATACGTGTTTTAAAATATTTTCGTAATGTTGTTCATGAAATACCCGAAAATTTATTATTACATTATTTTTAACGATGTTCGTAAAATACTCGAATATGTTTATTTATAACGTTATATAATCTCTTTAAATTGATTAAACACAAAATTACCTCTTATTGTAATTTCATTTTGTTGAACATTTTCATATTCATTTTTTTTCAATTGCTGTCATCTTTAATACATATATGTATATTATACCACAAATACAAAACATATTTGTATCTTAATTAAAATTTCTTTGTGATGTTAATAATAAAATGCTGAAACGTGTATATTAATACATCATTTACAAAATATTCACAATTTTCTTCTATATGTTAAAAAATATTTAAATTTGTTTATTCATATATTATTTATATTTTATAATACGTATGAATATATTTTAACGATACTCATAAAACAATCTAATACGATTATTAAAATGTTATTTACGAACCTGTTCATATATAATTTTAATACATATTGTCATCTTTCTACATAACTCGCTTTTACCGTCCGAAACATTATTATCATAATAACAATAATGTTTAATCATCGCATTAAACGGAACTGTATATTCCGATCGCATTTGTCACTACTCCTTTCACGTGTCATTTTCCGTGCACCTCTTCCATTATTTTGATAACGTCCATTATTTCCATTAATTTAATCCGCAAATCCCATCATATCGGACAATCCCGTTCATTAACATTACCTTCCTCTTTGCTGACGTATCTCCGATGCCCATCGAAAATGATGGTCCACGTCTCTGAAACTGACCGATGGTCAACAACGTACCTCAAAATGATCATCGTTGCGTTTTCCGGTGTTTGCAATGAATGTCACCCTGTCTCGACGATCGTTCCGTTCTTACCCTGATGGATTTCCAACGGAAACACCGCAACTGTTGCGGTTTCGCGCGCAAACTCGTCGCCGAATTCCGCAAATGTGGCCCTCGGTGTTCGGCTCTTGTTCCCCTGTATTTCTCGTGTAAACGAAACGACACCACTTTCGCGGGTGTCATCGATACATCGACCAATCCTCGATTGATCCACTCGTTAATTACCGCCAATCCCTCGGAACCGATCACCATTGCGGTGACACCGTTACGGTTCGATCGATCCGTCTCTCCCGTTTCCTTCATCCGTGCCTATAAATCGATCACCCTTTACTGTTCCCTTTCGTTGCATCTACCTTTCGCCTCCTTTCATTTTCTCCCCTCCTTTTTTTTTCAATCGTTCCAATATACTTTGATATCGGGACACCGTTGCGGTCGTGTGCGATTTCATCGAATTACGAATTTCTTGCGAATTCAATATCTTTGTCTTGCCCCGAACGGTTTGGCTTTTGTGACATTTGATTTATCCTTTATTCGATCGTCCGCTTTTTGTTTCTGATTCGCGCGCCTTTGTTTCACCAACTTTTTCATTGTTCCGATGAAATTTTTGCCCCGTTTGAACGGTCCGCAATTCAATATTGTTGAATGAATTGTTCGATGTTGCTTTGTATGGTGTTAATCGTTTACTCTGATTTTATTTGATTTATTTGCACTGTCACTTTGACTACTTATTTTGTTACTTGTTATTTACTTTACTTGTTTTATTTATTTTTCGCTTTATTTATTTATTTTCTCATTTATTATTTACTTTATTTATTTTGTTGTTTGTTATTTACTTTATTCACTTTCTTGTCATTCATTTTACTTATTTTTATTCATTATTTTTTCTTACTGATTTATTTTATGATTTCTTGCTGATTTCTACACTTTATTATTGACTACTTATTGTACTTATTTATCTTATTATTTTCCATTAATACTTTACTCAAATACTTCATAATGAAAATATTACAAAATTTACTTGCTTTACACACAACGCTATCAATCAATAATTTTCATACAAATTGCACTACTTTCACTCGACTTTCCCATAATTATGTCCGAATGTCTACTAATTTTGACTGCATGGTTCACGTGCCTCGACCATGTTTCACATTCGATGATCGTGGTTTTAACTGGACAGGCTTGTTAGCAGGCACCCTGAAGACCTATCAGCGTGCAGCCTGCGATGAAGAGTCGATGACGTTGAAGTGTCCACCAGGTACCACGATATCTGTTGCCCTGGCTCAATATGGCAGAACCGGGGCAAATGGCACGGGCAGGTGCGGCTCACCCGATCCATCCCTGTTGCTTGGTGATAAACAGACAGATCAAACTTGCGTTTGGCCACAGTCGTTACAGGTGTGTGTTTTAAAAGTATTTTTTTACAACGTTTTAATTTTGAATCATCTATGCCGGAAATTACGAATATGTTTTTATACATGTATTCACATATACGAATATATTTTTATTCGTGTATTTACGTGTGCGAATACATTTTTATTCATATGTTTACGTATATGATAATATTTTTATTCATATATTTACGTTTACGAATATATTTTGATTCATATGGTCTGGTACGTGAATTGAGATTGTAATTGGAGTAGGATTGATTATGTGAGGTGTATTCGAATTGATGTAGGAATTCAATTGGTTTAAATATTTGAAATGATCGGAATATTGAGGATTGACGATTTAAAATGGTGGGAATTAGGAGGATTTGATTTTGAATTAAATTTTATTTAATTGGAAAATTTAGTTATTTATTTATGCTGTGTATAAAGATTGTAATATAGATGAAAATTTGCAACTTAAAATGATGAATTATTATTAATTATCAATTGTTAATTATCAATTATCAGTTGTCAATTTATCAATTTATCAATTCATCAATTCATCAATTCATCAGTTCATCAGTTCATCAATAATTTAGCAGCATCGATGTTTGATCAAATGAATGCGTTAATATTGATGTAAACAATTATTTACACAATGAAATATTTCTTAGTACAATATGCTATTATAAAAGCAATTCATTGTTGTAAAAAATTATGTGATTGTATAAGTGCTTTATTTTTGTTTGTTTCATTACTCAGTATTGATTATTGATTTTATTATTCAGTGTTGGTTGTTGATTTTATTATTCAGTATTGGATGTTGATTTTAATACACATCGTATTTGTTTAACATTTTCCAAAAGCATTGTTGATCCTACCAAAAATAAATTTTACCCAGAGATTGAATTGCTATCGAATATTTTGATGGAACAGTTTTCATCTCGGTTTAGTGCTAAAAGAGATTATCATCGATAAAAATCAAAAGCTTCTGATGCATGAATACCTTTTTCACTCATTGTATGTTCAAGAGTTTAAAAACGATCATTGCGCGTGCAGTACATAAGGAAAATGATTTTACGCGGAAATATAAATCGAAAATATGGAACGATATAATTTTACTCTATATTTTTATACTTTTTCAACCAAAATGGTGCACTTTTGACAATATTTATTTTTAATTTAGCAGCATCGATGTTTGATCAAATGAATGCGTTAATATTGATGTAAACAATTATTTACACAATGAAATATTTCTTAGTACAATATGCTATTATAAAAGCAATTCATTGTTGTAAAAAATTATGTGATTGTATAAGTGCTTTATTTTTGTTTGTTTCATTACTCAGTATTGATTATTGATTTTATTATTCAGTGTTGGTTGTTGATTTTATTATTCAGTATTGGATGTTGATTTTAATACACATCGTATTTGTTTAACATTTTCCAAAAGCATTGTTGATCCTACCAAAAATAAATTTTACCCAGAGATTGAATTGCTATCGAATATTTTGATGGAACAGTTTTCATCTCGGTTTAGTGCTAAAAGAGATTATCATCGATAAAAATCAAAAGCTTCTGATGCATGAATACCTTTTTCACTCATTGTATGTTCAAGAGTTTAAAAACGATCATTGCGCGTGCAGTACATAAGGAAAATGATTTTACGCGGAAATATAAATCGAAAATATGGAACGATATAATTTTACTCTATATTTTTATACTTTTTCAACCAAAATGGTGCACTTTTGACAATATTTATTTTTCATGAAATCATGAAGTTTCGAAAAGTTGTAAAACCTGTGAATATTCAAAAAGCTATGAAATCATTCATTTTCACAAAACTCTGGAAGTTGATTTAAACAGAATAATTGAAGGTTACAAATAGTCGTGTTAATTAAATTATTATATTACAATCTAAGACACATTCGATTGTACGCAGTACGTTAATTTCTCTGAAGATGGTCAATTCTGTTTTCACAGAGTTTATAAATAATTCATCAAAATAAACAGTGACTACAACAGAAGTAAAATATACTCAATTTCGAATTCTGGCATTAAATTCGTGTCACAGTTTTGCACTTGGCCACCGTAAATTCTGCTTTTCGGTGCATTGATTAAAGCACACAGAATTATTTACATCGCAAATAATGAGATACACATTATTATCCGTGAATGTTCTTTGTCTTTCTACAATTATACTCATGCTTTTATTACTTCTCATTTAATTTATCTCTGCTCTTTTTGTGTTTCAGACCTTCATCGTTAATATACATTTATCTTTATGCTTTATTGTTCGACCTCTTCTGTTCTGTTGTAATCACAGAACTAGGTATTATTAACACAGAAATTAAATATTGGTATTCATATTAGATATTTGTTAAATATTATACACTTTTTCAATGCATAATAGCACCCTTTAGATCTGTATAATATAAATGGTATACCATAAATTTTACTGTGAATTTTAAAATCTTGTTAATGAAATAGTACTTTATTGTTTAATATTTTTCGAATAAATTTCCGAAAGACCGAACATCGAATCATTTTGACCTTACAGTATATTATCAAGGTCACTTGATTAAGGTTAATATTTAGAAAGTTAAGGTATTTAGAAGTTTTAAGTCTTTAACTGTCGTATATTAAAAAGTTGTTAATATATACAGTACATACAAGTATATTAATTATCACATTTTCATCACGTTATTACATTATTATTGATTTTTACATTAATATTACTTTATTACATTAACACTAATAATATAAACATTAATTATGACATTATCAATTTGGATATAGTATAAGAATACTAATACATTGCCACCGTGACGCAGCTACGAAGCTAAATCGATAACAACATCAATCAAACTCGTGTTCTCGAAGCAACTTTATAGCAAAGTACATATAATCTAAATCCGATCGATGTACCGCTTTTGTGAACAACGTACTAAAGCATCGTGCGTTGGATTATTGGTTTCGTGAGTTTCGTATTATTACTTGCTGTAACTTGCTAATTAACACTTGAAGCTACCAAGTTTAAGTGGCACTTAAGCATTATATTATCGATCTAAAATTGACTTTATCTCCTGCAAGTACTTCCGGGCAGTAAACAGGTTTGACCATTAAAAGGGAGCTGAAAAAGTGTAAATGTAGTTTTAAAAACATGGATGAGGAATGAAAAAAAGTGGAAGTAAAACAAAAATCGTATGGACTGATGGGTTGATTGAGCGTTAGAGTGATAGATCGATAGATTAATAGATCTATAGATTTACAGATTGATAGATTGATAGATTGATAGATTGATAGATTGATAGATTGATAGATTGATAGATTGATAGATTGATAGATTGATAGATTGATAGATTGATAGATTGATAGATTGATAGATTGATAGATTGATAGATTGATAGATTGATAGATTGATAGATTGATAGATTGATAGATTGATAGATTGATAGATTGATAGATTGATAGATTGATAGATTGATAGATTGATAGATTGATAGATTGATAGATTGATAGATTGATAGATTGATAGATTGATAGATTGATAGATTGATAGATTGATAGATTGATAGATTGATAGATTGATAGATTGATAGATTGATAGATTGATAGATTGATAGATTGATAGATTGATGGATTGATGGATTGGTGGATTGGTCGATTGGTGGATTGGTGGATTGGTGGATTGGTGGATTGGTGGATTGGTGGATTGGTGGATTGGTGGATTGGTGGATTGGTGGATTGGTGGATTGGTGGATTGGTGGATTGGGAAATTGATAAATCTATAGATAGATAGTTGTCAGACTGATGCATATACAGATTGACAGATTGATAGGTTCATAGATTTGTAGATTGACAGATTGACAGATTGACAGATTGACAGATTGACAGATTGACAGATTGACAGATTGACAGATTGACAGATTGACAGATTGACAGATTGACAGATTGACAGATTGACAGATTGACAGATTGATAAATTCACAAATTCCTAGATTCCTATCATCCGAGATTCATAGATTCATAAATTCATAAATTCATAAATTCATAGATTCATAGATTCATAGATTCATAGGTTCATAGATTCATAGATTTGTTGATTCGTAGACATAGATGCATAGATGCATAGATGCATAAATTCATACATACATGGATACATAGATTCATAGATTCATAAACTTATAGATTAACGTATTGATAGATTGATAGATTGACAGATTGACAGATTGATAGATTGATCTATTGATATATTCATAGACTAACATATCGACAAATCGACAGATTGATAGGTTTATTAATTTATAGATCGGTAGATTTCTAAATTTTTTTATTTTAAAATTCGGAAGTTTATATATTGTAGAATTCCGAATAATTTAAATATACAATATTATACAGTTGGTATATGTTATGTTCTAGGAGCAATAATTTTCAGAATATGTTTAATATTATAACAGTCCCATTATAATTTTTTAACTGCTGTTTTAACATAATCATTGGATACGTGTACCGTAATGATAATTTGTATCATTTTATCGTGGTTAGTGGGAACAACCGAATTACTCAGCTTTAATCGTTTCTCACTTTGCCCGACGAAGCTCGCAATTGCCACAGAATTTTCTGAAATTTCCTGGAAATGAGCTCTCAGCTTTCGACACCTTGCAAGTCGCTTCTTCGTTTCAGCGTTTCATTCGCGGTCGAAATGAAACCAGAATCATGATTGCTTACGCGTTTCCACTCCACTCGATATAAGAGCCAGCCTGCTAATCTCGTCTAACCAGATTTTACTAAAAGAGCAAATTTTTTCATTCCTCTTTCGCACTTGAAAGTCATTTCAGTTAATCAAAAACTATCGCTTTTTCTCTATTTCCCTGGGAAAACCGAGCAATTTTCTTAAGCAGGCAGATTCATTTTTACGTTGTTTTATTTATCGGCGATCGGCAATACGAACATAATTTTCAAATTCTGTAATTGCAAAATCGCGTTTGTTTGCTGTGGAAAGTTATTTATTTAGGAAATTGA